ATTAAGGGCAATATAGACATTCTAGAAAGAAATAGTAGCTGCCACGTCATTATGTCAAGTGCTTATGTCAAGCATTTCTGTACAAATAGCAAAACCCGCAGAAAATATATCAATGCATCGATGATAGAAGAGATAATAATAATAATTCATCCAAACAAACTTTTTACGGGTAGATACAGAAGTTTACAATTATGTTGGAAAAAGGTTCAACATTCCCCATGAACTTATTTGCTCATTTAAATACATATTTCAGCACATGCTTATAGCATGACCTAGTATTGATGATCATATTGAGTTTTCAACAGCATGTGGATTGTATGTGCGACGCCTCAACTGAGATTCCTGAGTTGGCTGCTGCAAGAAAATTCTTGTTGGGTCATTCGGGTCAACATATCTGCAAAACATGAAAAAAAAAAAAAATAAAAAAATCAGCCAGAAGTAATCTTCGTAATTGTGAAAGATAAATGGGGACATGGACACATACGCATGTCTCATCATCTCATCAACAGGAGTTTGTGCTGCTTGCAGAGGATCCATTTGAGGCTGTGCTTCCGTGCTGGTACGTTGGTTGTATTGTCTAACTGACGAAATTAAGTTGAAAAAAAGTGGGACAAAAGTTCCACAACCACCTTCCTTGAAGAGAATCTTGAAGGATTGAGTCGAATACAGAGCCCTGTGCTCGTTATCAGGTACAACCTGAAATTGGTAGGATGGAATTCAGACCTCTCCACTGAAAGTATATAATAGCTCTTTTCTACTTACAGGGTCAACATGTCCAGCAATATTGTTGCAGTAGAATATCGGCTGGTTGAATTTTTCACCATGAACATAGAGCTGCAGAAATACATCCCAGGTCAGGAGTTATATGCATGCTTCTATTAAGTAGAGTAATCAAAAAGGTAATAATTGAGAAGAACCAAAAAGACCGACACTGCATAAATGTAAAATATACTTGGATACCAGGATATGTGGGAAAATGCAGTTATAGAGTTCAAGAAGTCATTTTTACTTCCGTGGTTGAAGTATAGAAAAATCTTTTCAAGAGTATTACATATAACAAAACAGAAAGTCATCTTTGAATTACCACCATATACTCAATGGAGTCAACTAGACCAGACTGTCCCTAGGGTGTCTAGCTCTGTATCAAGCCACTTTTCCATAGTTTTGAAGCATATTGTTATGCATCTTCGAGTAATACTCATCCCATCGCTTTTCACCGTTCTTAATCCTAACATTTATCAAGTGCTGAATTGCTCACCACTCTCATGGTGCCCAACTCAAACTGAAAACTTACAGAACCAGTTGGCGCACTCTTATAACACTAAGGTTAGCAAATTATCAACGTTCATACAAATCCACCATATAATCGTCTATAAAAATTACTTTCCCAATTCTGGCTTCATTGATCCCAAGTGGGAATCTTGGGTTTCTCTCATTTAGAACATTAATCTACTAAATGCTTCCACCATTGTGACAATACTCCTTTTAGTTTCAGCTTCACATAGAGTACATTTAGTTTCTCCAATATCAGACTTCCATTACAAATAATTCTCCAAGCTTGCTAAGTTGGTCCTAATCAAGTAAGTCTTCTATACATCCTACCATGGAATTCTAGAACTTTCAGTTCAGACTCATCAAGAACTCATGCTAACCTCTCTTACAACCCACTGCACTTAGATAGGCACCAACACAGGATTTTGAAGGTTTAAAGAGCTCAACGATTAGGATGGACTCTCCCACAGGTAGAGTTTAAGAGTAAAGATGGAATGAAGGACAAAATTCAGGAAGATTTGGATGGTACGGAGCTAGGGGGTTGCACAATCCATGTGGAAGCCTATCCATAGATTGTGCAATGTATGATGACTAAGTCCGGGATAAGGTCGCACAAGATATAGCCCCTATTTGGGCTCTATTAAAATTAAAATTTATTTTTCTCTCTCTTCTTATCAACCACATTTTCCAATAAAATAATATTACATGTAAACTCAAAATTTTTCATTCTTTTTTAACCATACATTCTCCAAAAAAAATATTATTCCACAATATATTTTTCCCAAAATCTAATTAAACTAGAGGCCAAACAAGGGCATAGATTCACCTATATCCTATGTTTGGCAAGGGTAAAAAATCAAATAACTTTTTATCCACATGCCGTCCTTAATTATTTTTGCATATTGCATTAGTTTTTGTCAAAATAATTGGCCGAATGATTTTCCCATTGAGATTTCTTACATTATATAGGAATAATATCAATCTAAATATAATAAATGTAATCAACCTAAATATGGTAAATACAATTATATACATAATCATGTTAAGTCATAATTATCGTCAATCTCCTTATTCTCCGTTGAAGATCTCTTTTGATCTCATTGACATCCCCTCAAATTGATGCTTGTAAAAACAATAATTTACCATCATGAACTGGCGACGTTAACAATGCTTGAACCCACGAAAAGAAGAGACCCAAATCACAGCAACTATCTACGAAAAATAGTGACGATGAGAGACCCAAGAACAACAAATAGTGCAGAAACAATCAAGAACCACTCCAAGAACACTCCAAAACCACTCCAGAGAGCTCACACCCCAAGGAGAATTTCCAAAAAAAAAAAAAAAATCACAAAATGTGCCCACCAGACACAATAAGCTCTATCAGTCGGAAGAACTCAATTGAACACATAATTTATGTTCCAACAAAAGCTCTAACTGTCAATGCACTGACCAAAAATCCAGCAATATATCGTTGATCAAGATGCTGCAGTTGGAAGAAATCTCAAATATAAGCGTACACAAAAACCCCAAAGATGATCCTCATCTGAGAATCCAAAACCACATAAGGATGATCCTCCTTTGAGAATCCAAAATTCTAGCTCATCACCCGAGTTAGATGATCAAGAAGCATCAATTTATTGACTGGTGCATAAAAGAACTCAAAAGCCCAATTCTAATATGTAAACCTAAAAATAATCACACGCACGAGCCACAATCCACTAATATAAGCCTACATATTGATCTGTAGCAGCCCAACAACATTAATCCACATATTCCAAATCACTTCCCACAATACAACATCAATCCTCAAATTTTATGAACCAATAATCCCCAAAAATCACAATAGACGTCCAATAATTCGGAAAAAAATAAGACTTGGGAAGAGATGAAACCCTAGAAAATCTGTAATGCAATTGAATTTGGATTTTTCATAGAAACACCAACTGTTAAGGACTCGCAAGACTCTATGATGTGAGGCCATTTTAATTCTGGATCTTGCTTCTTCAAATTAACCACCGATTGTTCATTGTCTATATACCATATTATTTCAGCAGGCTTTATGACCCAATGAAGTTTAATTGTATGCAAGAGAGTCCTAAGAAATTCATTGTGCTGCACCTTCATTATCAAAGAATTCTCATTGGCATCCGTAAAGATCTCCTTATAACTTATACCTTCTTCCCCGAGTTCCAACCTCGACTCTCACTAGGACTGGACATGGTCCAATTCGAATTTTCGGGTATTTAGTAAATGAAACCGTTGTGTCCAAATTTAATTATGAAACCGTTCATGTTCGGTTCCATTCAGTTCCCGGGATTCGTACAATAATTAATTTTTTATATTTACAATAACGCTAAATTAATTCGACTATGACATGTTTAATATTATCTTTTACAAAATAACGTAGTTCAATCTCGTGATATCTTTTGTGCCTTTCTTTGTTGAGTTCCTCATAAATTTGACCGTTAAAATCACAGGAAAGGAAAAATAGCGAGTTTGCAATAATAGAAAGGAAGAAACGACACTACGGTAGAATAAGAAATTTGGGTAAAACTTAGGTCGATTCGATTAAGTTGGCTTTGGCTGGAAATAATAAAATCATATTTTGAATTTGGATTAAATTAATTAGTAAGAAAATTTATTTAGAAAAAATAAAATAATTTAATTCATTTAAGAAAAGATTTAAGGAGATTCGTTTTTATTCGGTTCTGGGTCAGGAACCGAGAATCGAACCAAACTCGTCGGTTTTCGATTTAGATACCCGTTCAGATTTTTAACTTAAGAAGAACCGCTTGATTCGGTTCAGTTCGGGTCTAGTCCGATTTGGTTTGGGAGTTTTGTCCAATCCTATAAATCACTGCAACATAAGATAAATTGGTACCGGGGGTGATGATACATTCCCAATTTTTTTAGTCATTTCTCCTTGGAAACCCCCAATTTATAGAGCTCCGGAGATCCAAAGATTTGTTCTTCATGGAAATTTTAACGTCCGCAGAATTTTCTATGATGTTTACCATCAAGACTCCCTCAATCCAACCGCCCCAAAAAGAGCCCAATACTACCCGGCCATATAGACCCAACCTAAGAAACTGCAACAAGCCTAAAAAATCAAAATAATAGCCCATTTAGGAAAAAAAAATGACCCACAGCTTTTCATCAATAAACTCGATCCAATTACATACAAACACTTCCTCTTCACGTCTCTAAACCGAACCGAAACCGCATGCCACTACTACCAATTCACCATCACTACCCGTTCAATCCCTGCAGTCTCTTCAACAACACCTCGTCAAATACCATTGCCGCATTAAAGGGACGAATATCTACCTCGATTGACAAAATACACCACCACTAACAAACCATTATTTGGTCTGGGTATAACTGAAATAACAGAGGATTTAAGGAAAATTGAAGTCTGATTCTGCATTCAGAATTCAGTTGGGAAGACGATAATATGAATCGAATTGCTGTTAATTACACTACCGACTGCTGCTATACTGTTCTGCTTGGGAAAATTTGAAGAAAGCGAGGAAGAAGACGGGACAGGATCCTGCCATGAGAAAATCCAACCAAGAAAATGGGAGTAAATTCTAAGGAGAGTCTGATACCATGTCAAAATAGTTGGCCGAATGATTTTCCCATTAGGATTTCTTACATTATATAGCAATAATATCAATCTAAATATAGTAGATGTAATCAACCTAAATATAGTAAATACAATTATATATTTAATTATGTTAAGTCATAATCATCGTCAATCTTCGCGATCTTCATCAATCTCCGTTATATCTGTTGGCGATCTCATTGACACTTTTTTCTTAAGATCCAAACACTAGAAAATGCTTTCCTAATTCAAATCAAATATCCAAACACAGACATACTGTCTCAGCGGCTGTTGAGATTTTTTTACCCATTTAACTTCTTTCCTTGGAGCATAATAACTCAGATCCTCAATATAACAGCAAAATGATCTCTAATTTCAGTATATGCTAATGTAACAATATTGTGCTGCATATTTAGAATAAGAACAGCCATTTTAGGAGAACAAAAGCATGAATAATGCCCCAAAACCGAACAAAGCACAAAATAATGTTAATTCACTTTCACAAGCAACATAAATGCTTTGTCTGTCACTCTAAAAACTACGGAAAGAAGCTTCAAGATCCAAACAAATGTTGTTTACACGTAAAAACATTGTATAATAATGACTATATAAAGAAAAAAAACCATGAATATCAAAAGTGAGAAATGAACATAGTGTGCATCTGGATATAAAACTAGAACTTCCAGATTTCACTGAAAAAGAAAAATAATCAATTGTGTATTGACTTGATTAAAGGTTTTCAAATCTTCCTTAGAATAACATCTAAGATAAGCCAACAAAGGAGAAGCTAAACATACCAAGGGCATATCAAAAGCAGCAAAATTGCCAACAGGTTTATTTGCAACAAATACCATGCGGATATTTGACAGGTAGATTGTTCCCTTTGCTTTAACACGATCCCCGTGTGCGCTGAGAACAACGTGATTGTTAGTCTCATATTAACATAACAACCATCAATTAATCACTTGAAGAAGTCAAACTGGAATGAAATTAATCTACAATGCATAGCAAAATTGGTTATATTGTTGTATTTCAATTACAATATCTAATGTCCAAAGGCCTGAATGCCTTTTTCCTGTGGCAAAAATCAATAAACATCGCCAGAGAGCCAATCATCTACATGTAGACAACGAGAAAGAACGGGAATTCCAAAACTGAATATTTAATTTCAAATAATATCAAAAGGCTAGATCAATCATGCTGAATAAATTTCCAAAAAGACGAGATTTCTAATGACTTAATCCATGGTGTTATCATCTGGCCTCTCGTACTAGTGCCAATCAGTCCAATACCATACCAATCAGTCCAATTCCAAAACTGAATATTTAATTTCAAATAATATCAAAAGGCTAGATCAATCATGCTGAATAAATTTCCAAAAAGACGAGATTTCTAATGACTTAATCCATGGTGTTATCATCTGGCCTCTCGTACTAGTGCCAATCAGTCCAATACCATACCAAGAAGATTACAGCATCAGAAGCTAGCTTTACCAACATAATGCCTCTAATTCTTTTAACTATATAAATAATCAATCTATTGTTGTTTTATTGTTTATTCAGCGAATAAAAACAAACAATTGGTGAAAGAGAATTTCAGGACGATTAAACCCAAAAGTTATGATTCCTGCATAATACCAAATAATGATAATAAAAAAATCTCCAATCAACTTGAAATATTTTTTAGGATTATGATTATCCATCAGACGAACATCGTTAGTACCAAGAATTACAAAGTATATGCAATTGCTAACCCTGGGATCTTGTCAATTTCGAATTCAACGCCATCTCTGGCTAGCACGAACGTTTCGTTGACAAAAGGCACTGGCATGCCATTAGAAAAAAGCTGAGGATTCAAAGCCATCAGAAGCGTTTCGCCGTTGATCAATTGGAAGAATATCAGTATATCACAAGCAGAGATGGAAAAAAATCGATACGATCAATCGCAATATAAGCGAATATCATACGTATTCTACAACATTCTAGATGTTGGATTTGGGAATTTGTACGCAATCCAATGCCATTGGTAAAAATATCAATTTGTCACTCAACTTTAATTTGTTCCAAATTAGTTATTCAAATTTAAATTTAATTTCAAGTTGATGATTTTAATTTGTTTTCATAATAATTTGCAGTGTAAAGGATGAGGCCCCCATTAATAGTGGTGGAGAGCCCTCTTTGAGCCCCCATGTTCCGTTAAAATGTATTTTTGAATAGTATTTTATTGAAAAATGTGCTGTTAAAAAATAAGAATTTTTTGAATTTACATATAAAATTAATTTATGAGAGAATATGATTAAAAATAAGTTTTGAAAAAATGAATTTTTTAAAAAATGGGGGCCAAACATAAGTCTTATGTACGAGTGAGTCAATATTTGGTGGGAAGTTTCCTCTTGAGATTTGATGACTTGGAACGTAAATTAGATTTAAAATAGTTGGACATTCAAGAAATAGTTCTCTGACCAACATACCAATGGTTAATCTCAATTGCACGATTTTCACAAGAAATTTCTTCGGCCAATGTACCAATGGCTAATCTAAATTTCTTGTTAATTATATCGTAATGTGTCGATAAGAAACCAATTTTTTTCTTTTTAGAAAAATGCATATAATCTTTTGCAACTTTAAGAATCCAGCAAATGGATTGTGCCTTCGTAAAAATATGGGCAACTTTTGGCTGTTTAGACATTTAATTAGTGCATGTCTGGCAATGCTTATAAGCATTTTAACGACCGTTATAAACCTTTCCAAGGACAAAAACGCCTGACCATTGTGCAGAAATTTATTCACTTTTGGCCAGCCAATTTCCACATTTGCCCTCCTCATTTACAGCCACACCTACCTCTTCTCCATCCACTTTCTCTCCCCCAAAAGTGTAATCCCTTCAAAATTTTCCAGTTTTCACTACCAGCCGGCCGAAAATTAGGTGCAAGAATTGATTCTAAAGAGGTACCATTCACACAGAGGGTCGAACATCTTCAACCACAAAAGGCTGATTCCGATCCGCATCAACCTACCCACATAAATACAGAGAAAAATTTTGAATTTTCAATCGTCGACCACCTATGCAACACCAACCTATCATCATGGATCGTCACTTCCCACCGGTAATAGTAGTTTTCCAATGTTTGCTACTCGTAAAGTCGAATATAGGGTTTTTTTTGTTGCTTTTTCCGGCATTTTAGTTTGCCGGTACTGATGGGAAATTGGTGCTGCAGATGGGCTCACCGGTATAAGCCTCGCCTTCCAACAGTCTTCCCACAAAGTCCCATGCATCGGCCGAAAAGAACGCCCAATGGAATCCACGCGAAAATCGAGTGTTCATTGCCGCGTGTGAGGCTGTAATTGCGGACGGTCACCGTAACGGCAAGTGCTTCACGATGGATACACTCGTCCGCTTGTTCAACTCCAACTCCAGCCATGATTGGAGCAAGTGACAGCTTAAGAATCATTGGTATTCTCTTCGGCAGAAACATAAGCGATTCCAGGAGTTGCTCGACTGCACCGGTGTTGAATACATCTCTGCAATGGGAAGAATTTTTGCATCAGAGGAGTGGTGGGCGCGAAAGATTAAGGTATTTTGCTCATTCATGGTTGTCGTTTTGGTGATTTATGCATTTGATATTGATGTACTTATTCAAAAATTGTCAATGTCATTTTGGCTTCAACTCCATGTCTACACATTTCCTCGGCCTTTTTAACGTGGTAGTACTAATCAATGTTTTGAAACCGACCGACCCAGAAATGGACCAGTTACCTAAAACTGGATCTTAAAAAGCTATCATGTGAATTGGGTTTTCTTCAATTCGATAAAAATATCTGTCGAGAGATAAAAAAAAATATTTGACTGAGGAAATAACTCTTGTATTAAATGGAAGACAAAAATAATTTTTAGAATTGATGAAGTTTTTTGACGTGAGCTCTCTGTTGTACATTGATCCCTATTGAAACAAAGAATAAATTGAAAGAGTTTCGTATTCATATTAATTGAAAGAGTCCTGATGATGTAGAGCTGCCACGATAACTCGGTGCACTAGCAAGTTGCAACTTTTTCTTTAAAGACAAAGTAATATACGCTGCTTAGCTTTGACATCATGGAATGAACATCGTCAATTGGTGATACAATCGGACGATCTTGGGCTCAAATCTAGTGCAGTCTCTCTCTTTTTCCCATTATGTTAAAACAATGGGCCCTAGTTGTTAACTTTAGGACTAAAGTTTTCATTCGCCTATGATGAGGTTGGGAGTGAGCAAGATTTGGTTGGTTTTTTTTGAAGATCTCTTTCTTTATGGGAAGGACATACCGATAATGTAGGAGGAACTAGAAAACATGTTTCCATAAGGACATGTGTTTATATGGTTAACTTGTTCTTTTTTCCTTTCCCAGTTATATCAGTGGCTGTCCATTAGGCTTTTTTCCTGTCACTTTATTAATTGACAGACAGGAATCATGCAGAATTATATGTGTGTATCTTTCCATTATTGAGGACTTGCATATTTCACTTTTGAGCAGATTCATTCTACAGGTAGTGAATGAATATATTCTAATAATATACACTATTGTAAAAAATTTTGCAATAATTGTGGGAATCTATTAAACTGATCATGTGAACTGCGAAGTGAATGAATTGAACATGCTATTGTACTGTCACTTTTGAAATAAGGAATTGTACCATCACGTTTTTGTTTTTAAGTAATTTTCATTTATTGTGGATTTTCTACCTAAAGTTTTTGCCATGAACCGTCATATTTCTTAAGTTCCCATTCGATTATTATGTTAATTTGCAACAGGAAAATAAGGAGTACAAAGAGTTCAAAGACAAAGACTGTAGAGAGGTATACGGTTACAAGGAGTTGTTTGGGGATGCTTTCGATAACGAGAAGTATGCTGTAACACCGTCAAAGTTGTGCAAAACAGGATTTGCCATGTTCGACGATAGCGGCTACGAAGACATGGAGGACTCTGTTCCAGCGGAAGAGGAGAGCAGTGGGTCCAGTGATGAGGCAGAACCAGGGGATAAGACAGTAATGAGTATGGAGGGGTCTAGGCCGCGAAGTGGGAACAAGCGTAAGTCCGACGTGGAGAAGAAAAAGGGGAAGATGAAAAAAAATTTCGCGTTAAATTTGTCGTACTCTGTTGACCGTGCAACATCTGCTAGATAAACTGGTGGGTCCAGAGGTGCCCGATGTAAAGACATGTATTAAGGAGATGTTGGCGACGGGCAGATTGCAGAAAAAACGGACATGTACTTTTGGACGTACACGTTCCTATCCCTCCGGTGGAATAGGGAGATACTTGAAGCATAAGAGGACGCAGAAGAGAAAATGGAATGGCTGGAATGGAACTGGCATGAGTNCAAAGACATGGAGTACCATATAAAAGGACACATGCAATCAATATACTTCCATTATCAACAAACGTTGCTAACATAACCATTGGAGTTTCATTTTCATTCTAATACATCTCAAAAGTCATTTTCGTAGCATTACTTCAACAACTAAGTGCAATGGCACTATCAGACTTGAATTGCGTTCTCATGCTGTACGGTGATCCTGAAGTGGATGTTGGGGAAGAAGAATTCCTACAAGAGCTGCAGGATGACATTGTTGAGTGGTTTTGGTACTTTCACATGCCAGGCGTAGATGTAGCAAGCTATTATCGTGAACAGAGGCGTCGAATTAGAAGATTTCCATTTGCGCGAAACGGACACATGTTCATGCTCGATGCCATGACATATAGCCCAGAGATGTGTTATGCAGAGTTCAGGATGTATCCACGAATGTTGCGAACGTTCGTGTATATACTTCGCGATGAGTTCGGCTTGCGCAGCAGACGACAAGTAGATATATATGAACAAGTCGGTATGTTTTTGTGCATTTTAGCGCACGGAAAAGGCTACAAACAGGTTCAAACGCTCTTCAACCATTCTTTGGAAACTGTTGGACACTACTTCAAGGTTGTGCTTGCAGCAGCTGTTGAATTCGCTACCCGTGTTATAAGACCCGATTCGAACTACAATAACGGAGCCGAGCATCACGTTTCGGATTTGAACAAGCATCCGTTATTCGGAGATTGCATCGGTGCGATTGACGGAACGCATGTTAGGGCTGTCTTGCCACGAGATGAACGAGTAAGTTTCATCTGCCGCAAGGGGATTCCAACACAAAATGTTCTAGCTATGTGTGATTTTATTTTGTGTTTCACATTTGTGCTTGCTGGTATAGCGGGGACTACACATGATTTACGTATTTTGGGGCATGCGATATAAAGTCCGGAAATTGATTTTCCACAACCTGGCTCGGGGAAATATTATCTTGTGGACTCGGGATTCGCACATAGACCTGGGTACATGGCTCTGTATAAGGGGTCAGATATATTGTACCATTTCCAACAGTTCTATGATGAGCGAACGGGTCGCAGACGAAACTTTCGAAATGCGAGTGAAAAATTTAACTTCAGACATTCATCATGCAGGAACGTTATCGAACGTGCATTTGGTGTATGGAAGAATTGTTAGAAAATACTTGATCGGATGTCGAGTTACAATTTCAAAGTACAGACTGCTATTGTGATAGCTACAATGGGTATTCACAACTTCCTTCGACAGGCAGGACTAGTCGATGAGGCATTCATAAGAGTGGAGATGGACCCCGATATGGCGGAGGTAGACCTCCCGGACGAACAAGAAGAAGTCGCTGCTGAAATTAATGCTCCGAAAATGCAACGAAACGAGTGGGATTATTTCCGTGATTATTTGGCTCAACGATAAAAGAAAACGTGTTGCTACAACGACGACGTTTTTGCAAAGAATAATTGTTGCCTGTAGTGCTTGTAATGCTTTTGAGAATGGAAAATGAAAAAAA